AGGCTCTTGGGCTCTGTGGTATATATTGTGGTCAGAAAGAAGAGACTTTCTTAAAAAAGAATAGTCAAAGCTTTGGGAAATAGTTTACCTTTTCTCTAAACTGAATGGATTATTATCAAAATATTAAAAAGGCACCAGTCAAAGGAGAACTAGTCAAACGGAGACCTCAGGTTGCATAGGTAGCCTCAGACGTTTTATTCTTTTGAAATAAGCCTTTCTGATCTACGAAATAACACTGCCTCATCTTCCAAGAAATCATCTTGTCAGTTACCTATAGCAAGATGTTTTCCTGTGGTGGGAAAGTGTATGTTCATGTCAAAATTAATTCTGGGGTCTGAGAAGATGGCTTAGTGGATAACAGCACTTTGCTGTGCAGATTTGAGAACTTGAGTTCAGATTCCCCAGCACCCATGTAAAATCCAGGTGTGACCATGTGCTGTCAGAGGTGGAGACAGGAGAATCACCGGGTCTTGCTGGCCCACCAGCCTAGCCAGGAGGTGAAAAAGGAAAGCTCCAGGTTCAGTGAGGGATCCTGGGATAAAGGATAAGGTAGACAGTGATGATAGAGCAGGACATCTGACACCCTCCTCTGGCACAAGCATAGGCACCCTCAACACACATGAACATGATACCACACATACTAGAGTAAAAAATAAAAAATATATTAACTCTGATGTTCATTTGTTAGTTTTACCAACCAGTTAACCAAGAGAAGTCTTAAGACTAAAGCTCAGTGCCACTAGTTTCCACAAATCCCAGCGGAAGATGCCAGAAGCGTGTAACCAGAGATCAGGTGTGTAACTTCTCATACATGGTCAGTGAATGGACTTTAGATAGTGTTGCTGAAAATGAGAAAGGGTTCCAGAGCTAAGGATGTGGCAGGCAGACACAGACATGAATCTGTTTACCATTGCATTCAGAGTTGGTCCAGATTTCATATTTTGAGTTTATATAGTTTTTCTCTGACCAGGTTTATATATTGTAAAATTACATCCTGATGAAAGTCAAAAAACAATTCCCAGGTTATTTAACCATCCAAAGGGTAGACTGTCTTCTCAACAGAGCTTTTAAAATTGCTTGAAATTTTACAACAACTTGAAAATACCACTTCATCCTCATTGCATTTTTGACTTACATTTTCCTTTTTTTTGTAGTATGAGAACTGCCTCAGAAAGTTCTATAAGCACCAGAACACTGAAGTAGTGCTCTATTTGGCCCGGGCCCTCTTCAAGTGTGGCAAGTTACAGGAGTGCAAACAAACTTTGCTGAAGGTAATGGCCATGCCTGAACTTCATGATATTTTTTAGTTACCTTATATGTGTTCATATACTTATTATCTCTTATTTGCCTAAAACCCTTTTTATTACATTAGATCATAAGAATATTTGCTTTTGCTGTTTATAGGCTAGACATGTGGCACCCAGTGATACAGTGCTGATGTTTAATGTGGCCTTGGTCTTGCAAAGATTAGCTACCTCTGTCCTGAAAGATGAAAAAAGTAATCTGAAGGAAGTACTCAATGCTGTGAGAGAACTGGAGCTTGCACACAGGTAAAGACTTTGACGAAAAAAGTCTTGCAATGATTTCTTTCCTTAAAATGGCCTCAAAAGATGCTTTAAAAAGTACACATCCCTAAAATCACATCCCTAAAAAAATTACCTTGAGGCTAGAGAGATGGCTCGGTGGTTAAGAGCACTGGCTGCTCTTCCAGAGGACCCAGATTCGAATCCCAGCACCCACATGGCAGCTAACAACCACCATCCGTAGCTCCAGTTCCAGGGGATCCAACGCCCTCCTCTGTCCTCTGTGGGCATTGTATGACATGAGTGCACTTATGTACATGCAGGCAATACATTCATACACATAAAATAAAAATAAATGAAATTTAAAAAAAAATAACCTTGATGTGGGGAGCAGAAGTATTCTAGTAGGAATCAGGACAAAGCAGTTGCCACCTGGTGGCACCAAACTCTAGGAAGAATCCTGCCAGATCCGACTCTTGAAGCCTGATCTCTAGGCCCTGCTGTCTAGCTGCAAGCTGCCCTAGATTTTTGATTAATCTGATAGTAATGTGAGCCAGCAGTTTATACATGTGAAATTTTTAGTCGCCACTTAGTTGGTTTCATATTTTATACCAGTGTGTCTCTTTATGGGATGTTGATTTTCATTGAGCAAGGATTAAGATCTTATCACTTTCTGCTTAATAGATTTATTCAGCTCAAATGTATTTCACTTCATCGTACTTACTTAGCAATTAGTGTATGACACAATGAAAACCTGACATCTCCCAAGTTTTTTCACCTGTATTTGCATTCTTTATTAACATTTCTTGCCTCATCTGTGAAGTGTAAGTGCTTTCATGGCCTAAGCCCCCTAACCTCCATGTGGATGTCGTAGTAAATTAGTGTTTATTAAATACTCATTTCTTGAATTTTGGTTATGTGTGGCTTTTCTGACAGTATTAAGTATATATTTTGCCTTTCTTGCTGAACTTAGATTTTATTAAACATACCGAGGGGGCTAATAACTATGACTCTTTAAAAAAGTTGTATGATTTTCCTGTTGATATGATAGTATTCATCAAATGCATTTATATGTCAGTAAGTATGTAAGACTTTTCTCAGGCTGTTTTTGTAGAACATATTTAAAAATCTAAAGGGATTTACTCACTAGAGTCTTTTTCCTTTAAGTGAAATGTTTTATTTTCTCCTTCCATTTAGATACTTCAGTTACTTGAGTAAAGTGGGAGATAAAATGAGATTCGATTTGGCCCTTGCTGCCACAGAAGCCAGGTAATGGCACTATTTACAGAAGATGGTTTGGGGGGAAGTAGTGATATTGGTGTGGACCCAGGAGAGTGTCGCCACAGTAACAGGAGTTCCTGGTCTTCTCTGGGTCATTTACTCCCACTCCACTCAGGGCCTTTTCAAACTTTCAGGGAATTTAGAAAAACTAATTTAGTGAAAGTATTTACGTTGTGGGGGAAATGCCTTTTTTCTTCCTTTTTTGTTTTTTGAGGCACGGCCTTGCTGTGTAGCCAAGCTGGAACTCAAGATCCTCCCTTTGAGTGCGGAGTTATAGGCCTGAGCCACCACACCCAGCTGAAAAATACTTTTCTGTTTTATTAGTGTCAAATCAGCTAATCAAGAGAGGAATCCCAAGTCTTAAGTCGTATTGGGTGATGATGTTAGAAATCTTAGCTATGCTTGCAGAAGGACTTTGTAGTTTGCGAACTTAACACGGTTGATGGTATTGAGTGTGTTTAAGGAAAACAGGTGTTCAGAGTTTACTAACTATGATGGTGTTTCTCTAAATCTGAAATGTTCAAGGCAATGCTCTGACTTACTGAGCCAGGCTCAGTACCATGTGGCCCGGGCACGCAAACAAGACGAAGAAGAGCGGGAGTTACGGGCTAAGCAGGAGCAAGAAAAGGAGCTGTTAAGGCAGAAACTTCTTAAAGAGCAGGTATCTTGTATTGTTCAGTTATACTTAGAATTTAGGAGTTGTGTGCATCCATGCACTTTGTAAGCTAGGAGGAAGCCCTTGTTTGCGGTTCCTTCCGGTTTTTCATCACAAGAACATTTTGATTTCCCCTCACACTCACACACACGTATTTGTTCCTCATAGGAAGAGAAACGGCTCAGAGAAAAGGAAGAGCAGAAGAAACTTTTGGAACAACGGGCCCAGTATGTGGAGAAGACCAAAAATATTCTCATGTTTACTGGCGAGACCGAAGCTACAAAAGAGAAGAAAAGAGGAGGTGGTGGGCGGGTAAGAGAGCATCTTGCTGCCTTCATTGGCTTAGGATCCTGCCTTTTGCCTTTAGAAAATGAAGATGGGTAATTAGAATACTTGGTACTTGGTTCTTAGCCTTGACTTCCTCTACCAAGATAGTTTTCCTACACAAAATGATGGTGTTCAGTAGAGGTGGTATGGTCCTTGCCTTTTTGTGTATGTGGTGCTGTGATTGAACCCAGGGCTCAACACAAGCTATGCAGGTGCTCTACTACTGAGCTACTTACTCTTCCAGCCCAAATAGTTCCTAATTTCATAATGGTTTAACTTACAGTTTTTTGACTTCACAATAGTGCAAAAATGATAAGCATTCAGTAGAAACCATACTCTGAATCTTGATCTTTTCCCAGGCTGGGGTATGTGGTATGTTCTTTGATGTTGCTAGGCGGCAGCAGAGAGCCACAGCTCCCAGCAGCCACATGATCACAAGGCAAACATCCAGTGCTCTGCGTGTACTGTGAGACTAAGCTGTGGTATTGGGTCAGCTAAATGAATGAAGCACAATATTTTTTTTTTTGGTCTTTTTGAGACAGGGTTTCCCTGTAGCCCCAGCTGTCCTGGAACTCACTATGTACACCAGGCTGTCCTGGAACTCACAGAGATCCGCCTGCCTCTGCCTCCCAAGTGCTGGGATTAAAGGCGTGTACCACCGTGCTTGGCCAAAGCACAATTTTCTATTGATTTTTTTTTTTTCCAAATTTCATGTAATACATTTTCATCATATTTAGACCCTCTCCCCTATCTGTACCCCTCCATAGTCCCCTGACTGATTTTCATGCATTCTATCATGTATGTTAAGGCCTATCGAGCCAAGTTTGAATCCCCAATGTCCCTTGGTGGGACTCCATCCACTGGAGCCTGGTCATCCTATCTAGCCTCACTCTTTTTTTTTTTTTTTTTTTTTTTTTTTTTTTTTTTTTTTTTTTTGCCTAGCATCACTCTCAAAGAAAATCAACTCTCCCTCTCCCAGTAGTCATCAGTTGCCAATAGTTTCTCAGATAAAGTTGGGGCTTCTCACCCATTCCACCCTTCTATACTGGGTTTTTGTCTCGTTTGAACTTGCATAGGATTTGTGCATGCTGTAAGTTCATATAAGTAACTGCCTACCTATGTGGAGAGTTGTTTATTGTGGTCTTCCACTCTCCCTGGATCTTACAGTCTTTCTTCCCCTCTCTCTAAGCCCCGGGTGGCAGGTTTAGGATGTGTTTACCTTGTGGTGGTGTCATCAGAGCTCTCTCAGGGTCTGTCGAACGATCAGACAAACCATATAACATATTTTTATGTGAATTTATTATGGTTTATGCTCTTGGGTAGGGAGGGGGTAAATGGGGAGACTTACATAGAAACACACACCCGGCACCCAGCTCTGCACAGCTGGGCCCGCTGCCGTTCCAGATCGCCTGCCCATAGTCTCCGTTAACTTTTCACCCACACCATCTTGGGCCCACAGTCTTGCCCCGGGTCAGTAAACACCCCCTCTCGCGTCCACGCAGGTGAGATACCGGGGCCACCTTTTTCTCCACTCCCAGCCATGCGTTTGTGGCTGCTGTGGCTTCTGTCACAAGATGGCTCCCAGAAGCCCCTCCGTAGTCAGTTCTCCACAGCAGTCCCTGCCCCTTGGAGGAAACAGGCAGTTTGGGACACAGGTGGCTTCTTGTTTTTTTTTTGTTGTTGTTGTTGTTGTTGTTGTTGTTTTGAGACACAGTCTCTTTGTAGTCCCAGCTGGCCTGGAACTCGCTACATAGACCAGGCTAGCCTCAATCTCACATAGACCCACCTGTCTCTGCCTCCCAAATGCTGGCATTAAAGGTGTGTGCTACCACACCTGGCAGTGATTGGTGATTTTTGCACAATTTGAAGCAACAGGACTTTATTTCATTAAGATTGTTGAAAGTATAGACCTAACGGAACCCCTCTTCCGTGTGATTCAGTACTTCATTTGTCATGTAGCTGCAAGAGCACTGTGGCCTGCTACACCTTTGCAGTGCATCCTGAAAGAGCTGACTGTGGTCCTGCTTGCGTTTGTAGAGATCTAAGAAAGGAGGTGAGTTTGATGAATTTGTCAATGATGACACTGACGATGACCTCCCTATATCCAAAAAGAAGAAGAGAAGGAAGGGCAGTGGGAGTGAGCAAGAAGGTGAAGAGGAGGAGGGCGGTGAGAGGAAGAAGAAGAAGAGGAGAAGGTAATTTGAAGCAACCATAAAAGTAGCCAAAGACCTTTCACTTGCTGAACCTCTTTTTTTATATCTGTTAGTGTTCTGCCTGTGTGTATGTGAGTACACCACATCTGTGCCCGGCACCGGAGAAGGCCAGAGAGGATGTTGCATCCTCTGAAAGTGGAATTACAGACCATTGTTAGCTGCCGTGTGGCTGCTGGGAACCAAACTCGGGTCCTTTAGAAGAGCAACAAGTGCTCTTAACCTCGGAGCCATTTTTCCAGCTCAAATCTGAATCTTATTGCCAAAAATGTATAAATGTTAGTAAACATTTGATCTTCCCAGCAGTACTTGCTGCTCTAATCCAAACACAACTCCACTTCAGAATCCCAAGTACTTAACTTCCATGTCTCTCCACAGCTTTCCCCTGAACACAGCTACAAGTTAATCATCATTGCCTTTATTCTTGACTTTTGTTTGTTTTGTTTTTTGAGACAAGGTTTCATATATCCCAGCCTGTCTTTGTATTCACTGTGTAGCCCAGGCTGGCCTTACTCTACAACCTCCTGCCTCCACCTCCCAAGTGCTGAGATTACAGGTATGCACCACGTTGTTTCTTTTCTTGTATATTTATTGAAGATGAATGTGGTACAGAATGAGCAAGCCTAGATGGTAGCTGTGCCAACTGTGCCTGCGCAGTGCTGGCAGTCACCAAGCCTGTTTCCTTTCTGTGAAGTGGCGATAGTGGTGCCTGCCTTCTTTAATCCTGAAATGTGAATGTTTATGAAAGTGCCCTTTAAACGACCCAGTGCCATCTGTTGTAAGATCAGGTGTCCAAGCTGTCTCATCCCCTTACTTGTGGTACTGTCCTGTCTGGGAGTCTCCTTTCAGTTGCCTTTCCCAAACCTGCCCAGACCCCGTGGCCAGCTGTGATGAAGATGTCAGAGGCAAGCTGGAAGCAGTAGCCGGGAGGGGAGGGAGAGTAGGGAAAAAATTCAGAGGTCCAGAGCCTGGGCCTTGTCTCACATCCTCAGACACTGCACCAAGCACAGGATTTCAGTGTATCATGAATGAGGGAGCAGCTCAGTAACAAGGTAGTAGCAGATGTCATGTGAATGCATGCCTTTACAGACTATGGCCTGTGCCCTTAGGAGTGCATAGTGTGGCTGAGGCCAGCACCCACGTAGAAAGGTATTACTGGGATGGCACAGTAGCCTCAGACTCAATAAGTATGAGTGGCTCTTGACAAACTCTTGGTGTTCGCTATTTAAGACCTCCGAAGGGAGAAGAAGGATCTGATGATGATGAAACAGAAAATGGCCCCAAACCAAAGAAGCGCCGTCCACCAAGAGCAGAGAAGAAAAAGGCTGTAAGTGTATATAGCACTGTTTTCCTGAACCCTGTGGACGTGAGGCTGCAGTCCACCTCAGAGCTCTCCCCGCAGCTGCTTCAGCAGTTGCTTGTTTTCGTAGTTTATTGGTGGCTATTTGATTGTGTTGCTACAGTAAAACCGAGCTTAATAAGATGTCCTAATTAATATGAGCCTTGATTAATTGATCATGTTTGACATTCTTTAGCCCAAGCCAGAACGTCTGCCTCCTTCAATGAAGGGGAAAATAAAATCCAAAGCCATTATATCATCAAGTGATGATTCTTCAGATGAGGATAAACTGAAAATTGCTGATGAAGGGTAAGAATTTTCCCCTTGGTAAATTCTTGTAACGATGTGGGTAAACCACAAGTGGTTTGCTAACCAGCGGTCTGTACAAGGGAAAACACACTGTTCTTTGTTTTCTTAAGAGGGAAAGCAGATTCCTGAACATTGGAAGGAACGGATGACTGGCAGTGGTCCCTGCTACCCTGTCTTCTCACTAGCTTCTTGGAATTGTTTTTGTTTTTTTGAGGCAGGGTGTCATTCTGCATCCCAGGCTGACCTTGAACTCTGAAGCAGTCCTGCTTCAGACATGTGCCTTGTTGTCTTAGCATTTTTTAGCTGGAAGAAACCATAGCAGATGTCTGCCTTAAAACTGTATCTACCATTTCTCAGGCGCCTTCCTCCTAAATGAAGTGTGTCGTTTGCTGCCCAGCTGTTGACTGGCTAAAGGTATTAGGAGTAGCCTGATCCTGGCCTGTGGCGATGAGAAATTTTGTGTTCATTTCTTCCATGCTGGGCAGGTGGCTTGCCTCTCCTTCCTTGAGGGGCTTATCCTGGATGGCTTATAGAACTCTGCTTGAGCTCATAGGTCTTGGTGAAGTAATACTTCATTGTATTTGCCCTCAGTTTACCTCAGACCTTAGATCCCCACCGTGCAGACTACTAGATGTATTTTACCACCCTGTGTTCTTCTGTGGTGGTTCAGTCATTATTCAGCACACACTTGGATGTCCCTTCTGAGAGTGGGTTAAGTGCTGGGGAACAGAGGTGAAGGCAGACTCTGGAATGCCCCAAGGAACTTTTTCTCAGAGGCAGTGGGGAATAACAAACCCAACACACCCTGTAGTATGAGTATGTTCACTACCCTTGCATTTATTGCTCTGGGGAACACATCCTGTGGAGTCAGTGGTGTAGAAGTTGTATTTTTGGTAAGAGAGAGTGCAGTGGTAGGAGAAGAAAGGGAATCGCAGTTGGTCAGGGATAAGAAGTTAATATGGCACTCATGAGAGACTGACTTCAGAGGGCAGCAGCATAGAGAAAACATCTGTGAACATGGCAGTTTTCTTTTGCTCTGAAAACACTAGCTGGCACAGACTTAGGATTTCTTTTCCCTAAAGCATTTTGCCCTTATTCCCCCGGCTGCTGGTTAAAAGTATTCAGGATCAGTGTTATGAGATGCAGGGTTTTCAAAGGATGAGGCCTGTTGAAATATAAAAATAAAAGAAGCCCAGTGTGAGACTGAGCCAGGCCTGTGCCTACAGTCAAGGCCAGATTATTTGAGCCATTTGCGTCAGTTCAGCTTTGCCGCAGCCATCCTGAAGCATGTTTGAGCGTTCAGCCAGCTGGAATGAAGCAAACAGGCTGGCAGAGGACCCACTGGTCTCTGGTGTGTCTGCATCGTGAATAGCAATGTCTCCTTAGTCACTCTTCTTCATGTTCTCAGTGACCTGGGCTCATAGCACACGTATGGGTTCTTCTGTCAGACTTAGGCACAGAGTCCTTCAGTCTGTAGGGATGTGTGGGTTTCTGAAGAGTAACACATTTCACCTCCCTCACCTTCCTAGACTGAACTGTGGAAGTGTTCCTTTCTTCAAATGTGTCATGGAAACCAAAACCATGGAAGGTGCTGGAGAAGCACATGTGCCCTTAGGAGTGCCCTTGACCTGGTGGTTAAGGGGGTGAATCTAACTTCTAGAGCCTGGCTGCTGCCACCATTCTAAACATAAGCACAGCTTCCTCTTCCCTGTCACATGTCACCTGCCCCTGAGGGTGGTGAGGAACGCCTCAGGAACAAAAGCTGACAAGCTGAAGGAGCCTTTGCCTTAGCTTGATGAGCCTCATACAGTAGCAAACCCCAGGACAGCAGTCCATCATTCTTCCTCAGCTGTCAGCACAGACGTACTGGGACAGGGAAGTGTCCTGCTGTTCCAGCCTTAGGACTTCAGAGTCCAGCAGCCATCAGAGATGCTGCATTTTACCTCTGACTAGGGGTTGTTGATAAGGACAACTAAGTGCTTCCCACAGTATATGAAATTAATGATGCTTCATTCTGAACGGTGTCTGATGTGAGTGGTGCACAGCAGCCTTTCTGTCCATGTGCTGACTTCCTGCTGACGTACCTTGTTTTTCTTTGATTTTTAATCCTTTTTTATGGTGAGAAAGCTTACATTTATAGAATAGCGCACAAAACAAATAGCACATGAGCACCTGTGGAACCACCCAGGTCAAGACTCAGAACATAATGTGCCCTTGATTCTTAAAAACAGAGTTCCTATTTGTAACTCACACGTCTCTCCTCCAGACATCCCAGGAACAGCAACAGTGACTCTGACGAGGATGAGCAGCCCAATAGACACACCTCATCCGAGAGTGACTCTGATGACAACCAGAACAAGTCTGGCAGCGAGGCAGGCAGTCCTCCAAGGTCGAGGAGACAGGAGTCGGATGAGGATTCAGACAGTGACCAGCCATCCAGAAAGAGAAGGCCCTCGGGCTCCGAGCAGTCTGACAATGAGTCGGCACAGTCTGGAAGAAGCCCCTCTGGAGGTTCCGAAAATGACTCTCGTCCTGCTTCTCCAAGTGCAGAGTCGGACCGCGAATCGGAGCGGGGGTCCGACAACGAGGGTTCTGGCCAAGGCTCAGGAAATGAATCTGAGCCAGAGGGGTCCAACAATGAGGCCTCAGACCGGGGCTCAGAACACGGGTCAGATGATAGTGACTAAGTTTTATTTCATCAAAGAACTCCAGCTCTGAGGGAAGCCTTTTTAATATATAAAAGCTGTGATAAAAACATTTCAGATGGTTAGTCATTTGTGAAATTTTTAAGGCAATTTTTTTTCTATCTGTATAATACTAAGCCCCAAGAGACATTTCCTGTGCTAGAGTCCAGTATCTGAATCTCCTGAGCAAATGAAACTCCATTGTGGTGCAGCTCCACCTGTCATATGTGAAAACTGCAGGTAGACTCAGATGTTAAGCATTCCTGCAAAGGTTTGGCTGAAACCATGCAGATCTCTCCTGTTAGGCAGCGTAGTGCTGTGTATGGCTTTTGTTGCAAACTTACCAAGTGTTGCAGAAACGGGGATACATGTGTTTGTTCCCCTTTTGAATTGAGATTGAAAATATTTTCTGGAGAAAAAGACCTATAAATGCACCAAAGTAAGAATGGAGGGAAGCCTCCTTCACTGTGCGGTGCTGCAGCCCTGCAGGCATAGCTGCACATACACGGGTTGGGTAGGTGTGGAAATGCTTTTCTGTTAGAATGCGAAGACCTCCCCCAGCCATGTAATAAACTCCTTTGCCAACCATTGTGAGTAACTTGGTGTCTTTTTTTTTTTTTTTTTTTTTTTTTTTTTTTTTTTTTTTTTTTTTTTTTTTTTTTTTTTTTTTTTTTGCTCAATCTACACATATATGTAGCATGAATATATTAAGCAAATATTTGGAAAACTATTAAAGCCAAAGGCAGTTGGCTTTGATAATCCTGGCCAGGTTTTTGGAGTTGAATTTTTTTCTAATCTATAGAAACACTTATTTTCAGTAATTCAGTAACAATGTATTGTAATGCAACAGTTGTAAGGAAGCTTTAACAGTATTATTAAATGCACTGTAAGTCACTGAGTTGAGGATACTGAGGTAAAATACCCTCTTCCAAAAGTCCTTAGGAAGAGAAGCTTGTCTCTATAATGTGAACTGGGGTACCAATGTCTACACAGCATGGGGGCGCCAGAAAGTCTGCTGCCCAGCTCCCAGCTGGAGGAAACAGGCAAGGCAAGGTTTCCTGAAAGACAGGAGACCCAAGGGATTGGAAGGGTCTGCTGAGGGATCTTAGTGAGGGAGCTGCAGGGAGAGACAGGTGCACAGCAGCTCCAGAAACTGATCACTGAGGTCAGCAGTAACTTGCTGGGAAGGTGAAAAGCCTGGGATTCAGGTTCACCTCATGGGTACAGTTCACACAGTTCTGTCAAGTGCAGACTAGGAGCCAGGTCTCCCATCACTTTGTACTTTCCAGTACTCAAGATAAATCTTCATTCCCCAAGTGACAAGAATCCAAGTTAGAAGCCATTTCCTACTTGAAAATTCCCTTCAAACAGTAAACAGAAGTCCATCTGAGCTGGGTATGATGGAACATGCCTTTAATCCCAGCACTGAGAAACAGAACCAGGCAGATCTGAGTTTGAGGCCAGCCTGGTCTACAGAGCAAGTTCCAGGCCAGCCAGGGCTATGTAAACCCTGTCAAAAAAAAAAAAGTTCCATCTGAAGGCAGGCCGTTGGAAAGCCACATCTAATGAGTAAAATGTGATTTCTGTTGAGATCAGGTCATGCCCTACTCTTAAGTTATGCCATCTTTTATAAAACATTGTTCAGACTGTGCCTTGCTCTAGGAGACTCCATTTTAGAAGCAGCTTTTGACTCCATTTTGAGGGAGAAGAGGACTGCGGCCCCTGGGTGGACCCAGGAACTGCACCATCTGTCAGGTAATAAATGATATTTATCTGTCAGACTGGTAAATAACTCCTGGGAATAGAATGGGCGCTGCCCTATAAGTATCAGGGTGAATTGTGACTGTAGGGACATATGAGTGTTTACAATCATATCAGGGAAACCAGGCTCAAGAACTTATCAGACACCAGACAAAGGACAGGATGTAATTCCTTCCCTGGACCCCATAAAATGTGGACACTACACAGCCATGGTATGATCCCTCACCAACCTATCTGATAGATACCCGGTATGTATGTCAAGAACTGAGGACTTTAGACTATACTAGAGCTTCATCCCCTGCTATTGATGAGGCCTACTCAACTTCCTGCCTGTCCACCTGTTTGCCTCTCTGGACCTGATCACCACTTCCTGCTCCTGACCTATTTCTGGTGAACTTTGCAGCTTCCCCCAAACCTAATTCCAGCAGCCGCCACTGGTCTGGTTCATTATCTTAGCAATACAGACTCTTTCTCAGTCCCCTTCTCAAACTTCTTGAACTCTGCCACAGTCCCTTTTGTGTTCATTCTCGACCCATATATATGTAGATATAGATTTACTGTGTGCCTTGTGATAGGAGAGTGTAAATTAGTAGTTAAGACTGGAATAAAAGAAGCTGCATTCGCCTCAGCCAGTCTACTAAGGTAAGTAGATTCATGACCACTGAGGCTTGTGAATTTACTGTTATTCATTAGACTATCACATTGTGGAAAGTTTCTGCCATAGCACACTCAACATTTGACCCTGGATACTATGGGAGTGACCCAGAAAGGGAAAGTCCTTCTGACAAAGGCCTAATGGGCCCTGCTTGGCTCCTTGACTTGGGGACTCAGAGAAGCTGGCCTCTGTTGTCCTGGAGCTGGGCTCTTGCTTCACGGCAGAATTCGCTCCATTCTCTTAGCGTCAACAGAAGACAGCGTAGTAGAAGAGTCTGTTGATGAAGAGCAGAGACCCTGGGGGCTGGGGATGTAACTCGGTAGAATGCCTAGCATGCATGAAGGCCAAGTCTGAGGTTCACCTGGGCTAAACGAGTCCATGGAACCCAGGAATCTTAGATTGGGATCCCCTTATGCTCAGAAGCTTTGTGACTTTGGGCAGGGCACTCTTCCTGAGACAGGCTACTTGACTCATCTGAATCAAACCATGTCAACTACAGTAAGGTTTGAAAACTGCATTTGAAGCTCTCACAGAACAAGTGAGTTTTATCACCACAATCATAAAAGAACAACTTACTGAATTTAAAAATAAATTTAGTTGAGCCGGGTGTAGTGGCATATGCCTTTAATCCCAGCACTTGGGAGGCAGAGGCAGGCAGATCTCTGTGAGTTCTAGGCCAGCCTGGTCTATATAGTGAATTCCAGGCCAGCTGGAGCTACAGGAAGACCTTGTCTCAAAAAGACCAAAAGAATAAAATAAATTTTATTGTAATTATGCAAGGAAAAACCTTTTTCTAAATCTAAAACCTTAGCCTTGGGGCTGGAGAGATGGCTCAGCAGTTAAGAGCACTGGCTGCTCTTGCAAAGGACCTGGTTCAGTTCCAAGTACCCACAGGGCAGCTAACAATCATACATAACTCCAGTTCCAGGGGATCCAACGCCCTCTTTTGACCTCTACAGGCAAAACACTAATAAACATAAAAAAAATCTCAGCCAGGTGTGGTGGTGCACGCCTGTAGTCCCAGCACTTGGGAGGCAGAGGCAGGCAGATCTCTGTGAGTTCAAGGCCAGCCTGGTCTACATAGTGAGTTCCAGGACAGCTGGGGCTACAGGGAGACCCTGCTACAAAAAGACAAAAAAAAAAAATCTCTTAGCCACCTCCCCCAAATTACTATTTCATGTGTTAAGCAGACAGTTATTTCATGATAGCAAAATACTGTATCTAACCCTCAGGATCGTTGCAAAGATTCTGAGTAGAGTAAGCACAGAGCATGAAATTCCCACCAAAATTACTTCTGTGAATGCATGGTGCTATTCACCATGCTCAGTTTGTCTGGACCCATTGGGGATTAGATCAGTCAGTCCTTCATAGGTTTAATCTTTGAAAAAGTCTTGGTTTTCCTAGCCATTGGACAATGCAGCCCTTTGAGCAAATCAGCTGCCATCTTCATTAGATGAGCTGTGCCTACTTGCAAAAGTCAATCAGTGTAGGGTTCTGTGGTTGACGCTTCCACATTGTGGGGGGTAGGGAGGGCCACTGAACCCTCACCTGAGATTCCAGCTCCTCCCAGCCATTTATATACAATTCTGCCATAATTGTAAGTGGTCTTGGGGGGCTAGAGTGCTGGAGTATATAGGCTGGAGAATGTTAGCTGAGGGGGGACTCCATCTATGAGGCTATCAGGGAGCCAGCATCCATGCTTGGTATAGATCTTCAGGCGCAGCTGCTACCAGAAACCCCTCACCTATGCTCTGTTAAGAGAGCTCAATAAACCCATTGGTGGCCCAGGGTGAACTCTGGTGAAATCATACTTTGGTTGGGGCTGGAGAGATGGCTCAGCAGTTAAGAGCACTGGCTGTTCTTGCTGAGGACCCAGGTTCAGTTGCCAGCACCCACATGGTGGCTAACAACTGTCCATAACTCCAGTTCCAGGCGATCTGACGCCCTCTGAGACATTACATGACACGGGTGCACTTACATACATGCAGGCAATACACTCATATACCTAAAAATAAAGATAATAAATAAACTTTCAGAAATTTAAAAAAAGTAATCATACTTCGGTTTGTCATTAGGAACTTATGGGGGTGCGGGGGCTGTAGATGGTATTTATGTCTCCTCAGGGAATATTCTTGAAATACTAGTTCTAAGAAAAATATTTTTAATCTAATCCAGTTGAAGCACTTGGGATGATTCTGAGTAACTGAAAATGATATTTATATTTCAGGCCTAAATTCTCACACATACAGATCTGTTATAGTTTCCTTTGTATTTGCCTCTTGTTTTTTGCTTTATTCTGCTTTGCAGAAGGATTGTGTCTAGCAATAGTTTCCATTTTTTAAGTATTGAGTTTTGGGAAATACCTCAACTTACTATACATTTATTTATTTATTTATTTATTTATTTATTTATTTATTTATTTAGAGTGTTATGACTGAAGGACTATAAGTGCATCTGTGTCATGCAGTGCCCATGAAGGACAGAGGAGAGCATTGAGTACCCTGCAACTGGAGATACAAATGGTTGTTAGCTGCCATGTGGGTTCTGGGATATGAACCACAGGTCCTCTGTAAGAGCAGCCAGTGCTCTTATCCACTGAGCAGTTTCTCCAGCCCCAGCATGCTTTGAATCAATGACTTTCTTTAATTCCCCAGGTCTCCACTGGCCTTGGCTATGGAATTCAGAAGCAAGACTCTATTAGCACAAGAATTTTCTCTTGCCAGGCATGGAGGCACAGGATGCTTTAATCCCAGTACTCTAGAGGGAGAGGTAGGGGTATCTCTATGAGCTCCAGGTCAGCCTGATCCACATAGGGAGTTCCATGCCAGCCAATGCTACATAGTGACAACCTGTCTTAAAAATAACATTTAAAAGTTCCCTCTGTTATTTATTTATTTATTTATTTATTTATTTATTGTCTTTTTGAGACAGGGTCTCCCTGTAGCCCCAGCTGGCCTGCAGCTTGCTATGTAGACTAGGCTGGACTTGAATTCACAGAGATCCGCCTGCCTCTGCCTCCCAAGTACAGGGATTAAAGGCGTGTGCCACCATGCCTACCCTGCTATGTAAGCATTTATCTTGATATAGCAGACCCTATATTGTTACTGTTGTATCTCTAGAGGCAAACCTGTATCTGGTCATGAAAGCCATAACTAAACAGTGAAGAGATCTT